GTAACTAAAATCCTTAATGTATGCATTGCACCTATTTCGCCAAAAGTATCTCCAATTGTACAATAATGTACATTGTGCATATGTGCCATTAGAGATAGTCACACAATAATTGGTAAATAAATAATCTCTCTCCTTATTTGAATGATTTTATACAACTTTGATAAGTTTTTCTTCACAATGTCAAGAAGACCGTCTAGATGTTGACATTGTGGTTGACAGACGACAGTGCAGAGAGAAACTTACCAAAATTATATAAAATCATTCAAATAAGGATAGAGATAATTTATTTGCAAATATTTATGTGATTATTTCTCATGCCATATGTGAATCTGACATATCGTAGAATTGGAGATGCTCTAACAATTATTTGACTTTGCACTTCACTCGTTCACAAATATTAATTATATTGAAAATGATGTATAAAGTGAGTTTAATATCGCACATAATTTAATATCACTTAATTTAATCGTTACATCAGTTCAGCCAGGTACTGTCGATTAGAATTAAATAAATGAGCACAAGTTCCTGGAAGGCTGGGAGTGACAAAAACTATGAGCATAGATAAATTAATACTGTTGACAATTCGGTTTTGGGAGGGAAGATGTATAATTAATAGTCTAATCACTAATGCTGTGGATTATTAAATTATAAATATTACGGAGTAATAAATTAATCGTGAAGTATCGGCATGCATTCCTTCCATCCACTTGCAGATCAAACGCACTCCCCCCTGTCTCTTGAGTCTAGAGCTCCGCGATTCCCTTCTCGGGCTCAATTATAATAAGATCCTGGATAGATCTATCTTTCTCAGATTCTTTTTATGGAATCTTTCTGAGAAATATAAATCATAACAAGTTTAGGATCTTTAATTTTGTTTTGTTTGATTTTAGTAGCTTATTTGGTGCTAGTAACGCTTGGTTCTCGGAGTCTTTAGGACTAATAAAAGAAGCTCTGATATATTTCGGGTGAAGACTGAAGATGATGCATCAACTCTTGTAAGTCAGCGTGAAGGTTTGAGTCACTTTTTCTTTCAAACTTCAAAGGATATGCCACTCTTGATACTTTCTCAGCATTTTCAGGATTTGATTCCTTAGGGATTCTAGGCTTTGTCTTAGAATTGGACGATTGAAACTCACTTGTGAAGGTTTAATCATTGTTTCTCGGAGGTTTTTGGGTTTCCTGAAATGGGTGTGTTGATTTTGTGTTGAAGGAAAGAACTGAGGTTGTACGTTGAGCGGAAAGGGTTGTGACTGGATTTGCCAATGGATAATGAATTGATGACAGAGAAGGGTAACTTTGTGGAATTGAAAAAAGATGCATTGAATGGGGAGAAAGAAGACGAAGAAGGCGAATCACAATCCTTATTGCCTCATAAGAGAGGTGGATTATCTAAAAAGCCTGGAAACCCTAAGCTCAAAGTCCACTGGAATGATAGAAATGGAAAAAATCTTGTTCAGATCGTGGAATTCCAACCAAGGTACTTTATTTTACTAATTTACTATCATGAACTTGAAGTTCGTATTCATCATTTTACATTTTTCTTGATGATATCTTTAGATGGAATTCGAGAGAGAACGTATGATGTAAGTTCATACTTTTTATTTGCAACAGTTTTGACTCCCACGCCTGAAAACAGAAATATAATGTTGAGCAGTTGAGCTAAGTAGATCTTGAGTGGAACTAACTTATAGATTTGATTGAATCTTTCAGTATTATTTAACCAAACGACTTACGACCTAGTTGATTGATCCTAATCGAGTCATGAATTCTATTGGAGTGGATAGGATAGGATGCTATTACATGTGAAGATGGTGCATTATATGGCTTTTATGGACTAAATTGGATCTGATTTTATGAAATAAAAATCTTTGTATGAATGTTTAGTCGTTTGGATTGAGATTGACACATTTGGAAAAAGGGCAAAACTCAACATTAGTCAAGAAAAAATGACACATTAAAATAAAAACGTGGTTTTATCCATTGCTATTATGTGTGTGATAGCCAAAGGTAGATCATGTGCTGCAGATTAGCGGAAGATATTAGTACAAATTGAACCTGCTAGGTTTTGATTGTATATGACGGGTAAACTTTGATCTTGGTTCTATAGGTGATGTAGTATAATATGGAGTCACACATTATAAAGTATAAGTTTTGTACTAGAAATTCCCTATGTTTTCTTATTTATGAACCTTAGCATTAAGAGTAAGGTCAGGTCTACTTCAAACTGAGAAGAGCTCACGAGTGGTAATGATTATCCAGCATTGTTTTATCTTTCATAAGCTAATGCGGGGTGATCTCAGCAGTTGGTATTTTTAATTGGTGTCTTTGAGCATATCTATAAACCATGGATTTTTGCTCTTTACTTGAACTGTATAATCTGATCTTTTTTTAAGATATGGCCTGGACAATACCTTTAAAGTTTGTTCTGGTCTAAATCTTTCTAATTCAATTTTCCATTCTTTTGTTTGAAATGGTTAAGACCCAACACAGGAAAATGAAAATGAGAATGAGGAATTAATAGAACCTTGAGTTGAACTAGTTAGGTGATTTCATTCAATATTTTTGTGTAGTTTGATCTCAGACCCCATCAGGTTATCCCAACCCAATCCTGGATTCTATTAGTCTGGTCTGGTCTAGTCTAATGGTCTAATCTGAATCCGTCTCATCTAATGCTACATTTTTGTTCTTTGGATACAGCGATGCAAGCGACTCGGAGGAAGACGACTCAGACTATTGTATGTGTACAATAATGTAGTTCTTTCCTATCACTTCATGTGAAACCACACAGCTTTTCGTCTCACACAAACACCTGCTTGCTTTGTTTCTCTAATCGGACCACAAGTGATAATAATGCTAGATTCTCGTGGGAAAACTTTCTGTTTACCCTAATTTGGTTCGCATAGCACTTTTGGCCAAATGCTAAGCATCTTTCTTTACTTTATGGGGAAAATAGATATCATAGGACTTATGTAATAATCTAATATTACTGAACAGTGTATATGTGTATATGTTCCTATAAAATGTTTACCTTGAAACACCACTTTCAGTTATTGATGTGTATGATGAGATGCACCTAGCAATTAGGCACTTAAGCGCTTCTCTGTTTTTTTCTTTTCTTTTTTCTTTTTTTTTTCTTTTTGTATATATGTATGAACAAACAGCCTTTTGAAGTCCTGTATCTGTCCCTGGTTGGCTTGGATGGGAATGTCAAGTGTTTTTCCCTTCCCTTGACTCTGGGAAGAGCTGATTCAATGTTGGTTCATAGGAAGAGTTTTTCCTTAGTTTGGTTATCAGAAAATGTTGGGGAAATAAATAAAATTATAGAAGATATTTCGAAGAACATGTTTAGAAAAGTAAAACAATGGTTCAAACAACTTAATGATAATGTTTATTTTTTAATTCATCTTTAGCGTGTAGATGATGTTAAGCAATCTAAGCATTTAGATATTCTTATTTATTAAATACTGATCCGTGTTTCTTTGTTCTTAGTAGTTTTTTTAGATAAAGCCAAATATTGGAAAACTGTATATAACATCTTATTTAATTTATTTAGCATTTATGGGATCGAATCATAGTTCAGATGTGAGCAAAGTGGTTGTCTTAATCCTTTGGTAGGGATGGAGATGGGCCGGGCTGGTTTCGGTTCGGTTGAACCGGCCCGATTCCATCCCTACCATTTGGTAATTGGTATCAACTCTTCCGTCAATCCGTCATTCTGTGTACGACTGGAAATAAAAAGGCATCTCCAGGCTCCAGCAAAAAATAATGGTTACAAACTACTTCAGGCTTCTTTGTTACCTAGTTTTTTTATGGAGATATTAATTGATCCTTTTTTGGCTTTGTGAATTTATTACTTTTCTTAATATGCTTTGCTTTTCTAGCTTTACAAATGTCATCATATAAAAATCAGATAAATCTTCTCTTTTCCTCATTCTAAAGCTTACAAACTAAGAATAAGCATTTCCAATCATTTCCCATGAAGTTCATATTCCATTGTTTCTTTATGCAATTATGCCTCCTTGTGCACCCAACCACCCAATACTTTTGTTTTATACTCCGTATGAAACTAAAATAAGTTGTTTAATAATATTGTTATGTCCATAACAATGTGACTTGTTAGAGCCCGTTTAGTACCTTTCTTTACTTAGTACTCCCTCTGGTTCTTATTAAAGTTCTCAGTTTGACTTCACACATATTAAGAAAATGAATTTGACTTTACTGTGGAGAGCACTGTTTTGCACCGTTTTGCACTGTTTTGTTTCCTAAAATGGAAGTGTGAACTTAAATAAGGGACATTCGAAAAAGGAAAGTGAGAACTTTAATAAGAACCGGAGGGAGTAAATACGTAGTACTACAGTACTAATTTAGCCCGTTGAAAATTGATTTGTCATATTGACTTTTCTTGGTCCATGATGTGAATTTTGGACAATAATTTTAATTATTATATATGTATATAATTGTAAATTTTATACTTTTATGAAAATATTTTGAATAAGGAACACTTTGATATAATTTTCATATCCAAATTAATTTCATATTAAAAAATATTAATAGTCAAAGTTGATTGATATTGGCCAAAAAAGTTAATTTGACGAACTTTTTAGGGACTAATGGAATAAGTTACTTGAGGAAAAGGAGATAACTCGCACTTTAGAAGGATAGTCAAATTTAGTCAAATGCCGGTAACGAATAGGTTTAAAACTACATCAAGACTTGTATAATATTGGTTTGCGTTGCAAAACACTTGTATAAATTAAACATATGACTCCTTTTGATACGAGTATTATGTATTTCTCATGATATTTTTAAATTTTCAGTAATCTTTCCACATGAATTTAAAAATAAAATTATTGGAAGAGTGAATAATGCATCAAATCTGAAAAATAGGCGATGGAAGAAAACAAGGAAAATTGTGTGATTTGTTGCATTCCTAATTGTCAAAAAAGAAAATTGAAATAGTTTTAACAATGACAACTATAAAAATAAATAAAAGGTGCATATTACAATGTAATATTACAATTAAAAGGTGCATATCACAATTAGAAAAAAGACAAATATAAACAGTACATATTACAATATCACACGTGAATTTGGTAGATGGATTACAAGTTTACAACATAAGTTACATAATGAATCAATAAATGAGTGAAGAAAAAAGAGAAAATAATACAACATAAGTTACATAACGAATCAATAAATGAGTTACAAAAATTGCATAAACAAAGAGAGAAGGATACCCACAAAGAAAACAGCTAGGAAGGCAGTGGTCTATTTTCTGCTGATATCAACCAGTTTGAGAGACTAGCATCGACCTGAAGTGATGTCCTCTTGTTTTGTTGTTTTTTGTATGCCAAAGGATCTGAATCTGGCTTTGCAATTGAAGGCTTTTCACCTTCTTCATTTCTTCCTCTAATATTCTCCTTCTGGTTCTTTTTCAAACTGATTCCCTTCACTGCTTTCCACTGTGTGAGGTTTTCGACTGGTTTTAGCACACAATCCAAATACTCACTACTTCTATTTCTGCCATTATCTCCTTGGCCTAATATCAACCCATTCTCATTACCAAAACCATCATCATCCTTGTCATCAATTTCTTCTTCTTCTTCTTCTTCTTCTTCTTCTTCTTCTTCTTCAAGATCACTTTCATCGAGCCTTATGTCATCATCATCATCATCAAAACTATCCCTGCAACTATAGTACCTATAATCTGAAGGGTACTCCGAATTCAGCTTCTCTTGGCCGACCGATGAAAAATCATAATCAATCGACTCTTGCCGCAAAGGCTCATAGATCTGGACATTCAAATTAAAGCTCACTTTTTTCTTGACCTTAAGAGTCCGGGAGTCTTTCCTTGCATTCCTGCTTAACCCGCATAAAGCACACATTTTTATTTACTAAATTGCTACATCAGCATTTTGAAGATGAAGCTAACACCAAGAATCAAGAAACTTTATATTCAGATTTAGGATTTCTTCCCAAAGTAAACTCATCAAAATCTTGTATTTGTGGGATGACTTAAACCAGTATAAGTTCAGCAATATCGGGAAAGAAAGAAAAGAGTGATGTACTGAGAAGTGAGAAGGACCCAAATCTTAATATTGCACATACCTGGTTTGTGAATGTGGTTCATCTGGTATTCTACAGTCTAGAGGCGTGTACTTCCCAGCTACCTAAATTGCAAAAGGGAAACTGTAGAAAACCAGAGAGAAAAGAGAGAGCTTTCTTTCTCATTTATTGATTGGAAGGGCAAGAAGTTGTGGGTTCTTACCTTGTTGAATGTTGGTTGGATTTTCTTGCTGGACTTGCGGCGTTTGTGTTTGTTTGTGATACCCAGACATGACAGGAAACACACCATGATTTGTTGGGGCCTGCTGGGTTCTTCTTCTCAGACACTCTAATTGGTGGAGATGAACTCTTATACTCCCACTCTGGAAATATGGGGTGGGGGTGAGGTGAGGTATGGGGTGTCCTTGTTTTGGTGATTTCGATGCTTTGCCTCCAACGGCACTTAAAAAGCCTAACGTTAACAAAGGGATCGGTGTGTTGTTGATCTTCACTTTGTTCTGCGGTTATAATAAAGACGGATTGGGTCATTGGGGTCAAGGCTAAACTCTACCGTTCTACGAGCTATTGTTTTTCAAAATTTTGGAACTATTGTCATTTTCCAATTCGCATTTTTGCAGCCTGTCATTTTGCTCTATTGTTTTTAATTCTCTATTTGTTTATAATCCAGGTTTGGAGCTTAGGATATTTTTAATTACATTGAATTTTTCTGGTCTGGTTTGATGTGGCTAATTTAAGTCTAGTCCAGTCTGAAATGATCTGATATGGTTTGATACATGTATGTTCTATGTGTATTTTACAATTGTCGAATTCTGGTCTAATCTGATTTGGTATGAACGCGTTTGATTTGATTTGTTTAAGTCTGATCAGTCTGGTATAGTATGAGACTGGAACCGGTCGAATAAAAAACATGCTTAGAGTGGCTATGAAGAAGAAGAATCGTGATGGATAAATTCGGATTTACTAGAATCGTCCTTTCGATTGTGGACTTGGGCCATAGATCCCAAACCTTTTTTTCCCAAAATGGGGAAAAGAAAAGACTGTGTTAAGATATGCTCTCTTGAAATATCTACATCTAATGAGTGGCATAAGGTCACTTTGCGGCTTCTATGGAATATAGTGAAGAGCATAAGTAACCCGCATAATATATCTAGCATTATAACATGAATATTTCGCATGAGATAAACTGCTAGAAAGTTGCCTAAATATATGAAGAAAATCTAGTTTATATTAATTCGACATTTGTTAATAATTCACCCTCAAAAGTTTACACGTTTAAATGAGCCAAAATGTGTCAATATTGAAACCTCACTATAGAAACGGTGTACTTGGACCCCAGAAATGGCTTCATATGCACGTAAATCCTTGTTCAAAAACATTATGACACATTTCCCGACATTAGGGGGAGAATATAAAGGCACACACATAATTATATTTTTGAATTTCGATGATGGAGTATATTCCCATATACCACAAGGATATCATAATCGCAAGTCAAAGGCCACAAAGGCATCTCAAAATACTTATGGTACCAGGCTTCCAACAAAGGCCGACTCCGACCCACCGAGGTCGGGACCAAGCACAAGATGACGAATTGACAAAGAACAGAAGACCAGCCGAGGCCGACCTCGACCCTCCGAGGTTGGCAGAAACATCGAGCTCGAGAATCACCCAGATAAGGCAAGATATGAGGCCGACCTCAGGCACACCGAGCTTGGTACCAACTCTGACCTCTGGCACTGATGCAATGTCAACCAAAGCCAACAAGAGAGTCAACGTTACAAGATAAGACCGAAGACATATCCTCCAGCGATGAGCGAGAGCATCCGAGCTCTGACCTCAGGGAGCCCGGGGTCTCATTAATTAAACACTATGGACTTAAGCATTACACGGAAGCAAACACTGCGTGCATAAGCTTCCGCCACGTCATCAGTCCCCTGAGAGGTGCCACGTCACTCCCAACGGATAGAAAGAAGAATATTCAGGATAATACACGTGTATTCCGCACGTGTATTCCGGTACAAGTTTGTTACATACAGTTCCAATCAGCCAACTGTCTCATTTATCTCTCTAATCACCTTTACACGTGGCAACACGCCATTAGCTCGGTCTGTTTGTTCTGTTAGACAGGCAGGACACACGTCCTCTCCACAATAGAATAACATATTTTTTACTTGGGCACCAAATATTACTCCTTTAGTATAAATATCACCTTCCAACCTGTGAAAAGGGATCCAATACTGAATTATATTGTTATTACTCTACTGAAATACTTACTTGATCTCATTTAGCTTTTCCGATCTTCCCCTACTACTTTTCCCGGATTCCGGCTTCCCCTAGGGGCGGTGATCCATCAGTCGGGAAAATATCCCAGAAGGATTGATCGATATTAAAAGAGAAACGTGTAAAATGTGATAAGTAAACTGCCAAAGTGACTAAAAGAAATGATTATAAATTTTGAGCTCAATCAATGCATGAAGCATGGTTAGACAGTCATTATGTGTATACAAAAACAAAATCGGTGTTTACTACAGTAAGTCATTTATGCCTCTACAGGAGGATGATATAAGTTAAATGTTGCAGTGGATAAGTTATGGAAACTATATATGATACAGAACACGAGTTCCTCTATTTTGGATCTTATAAAGGAGTTTGATGAAACATGAATCTTATTGATTAGATTGATGTCAATGAATTATTTTTTCCAAAACTATCGATCCATAATCCATAATAATAAAGTCTAGCTAGACAAAATGTGATGGACCTGTTGTAATACCCGAAAATTTGGGAGAATTCAAGAAATCATTAAAATTGTGTTTCGTATCGTTTAGACGGTCTTTAGGTAGTTTATTATGGTTGATTTAGTGTTTGAGACCAAGGGGAGGTTCAAACGAGGAAGAAACAGGGCAAAAACTAAGGTTTGGGGTGCTTGGGGGTCACGCACGGTGTGTGTGGGGTCATGCACGACGTGCGTGGAAAGAAAATCAAGCGGAATAGCTACTGCCAGCCACGCACGGCGTGCCTGAAAGGTAGGCACGACGTGCCTCCCTGTGTTATCCTAATGCGACCCAAACTTCGGAAATTCACTATAAATACATTCCTAATCCGATTTTCCTCATTCAAAAAACCCTAGAACCGCCTATTCAAGATCTATATATTACAGATATTCAATATTAACATATCCAAAACGAATTTTGATGCCAAGGACGAGATCAAACAATCTAATCTTTCGGTAAGTGCGTTTGTTGCCTAATTCGCGTCGTTCATCCGTTTTCTTAATTTCTTTCTCCTAAATTGAGTTGCTTCGATACTATAACTTCCTAGGGACGAGTGAGTGATCCCTCAAGATAGATTTGACATTTAGGAATCGTTGCTAGCCTCGAGGTAAGAACTATTGCAACCAAAACTACTATTTTCCCCTATTATGTATTAATTAGGGTTTGTGCTATGATATAAGTTTCTTTCTGAAATTTGATGAATAATTTGGTTATTATAGTATTAATATAATGGTGTATGATTTTATGGGAATTTTTGAGAGTATTATTTATGGTGAATTTATCAAATTAGTTTGCTATGGCTAAAATTGTGATTTTTGAGGATTGTTCTTTTGGGATTGAAAAATTTTGGTGATTGTTTTGGTATGAGTTGAAGTATGATTTGAGACTATTCTAATTGGTTATATTGAAAATATATTATGGGTTAAGAATACCCCAATTGGATTATTTTGGTGGTGGTAATAAATGCTACTTTTGGGAAGTGGTGGTTCGGGTTTAACCCTCTTTTTGGAAAATGTTGTGAGATCAAATCTTTTGAGACAAACTATATATTTTTAAATGTATAATTTGGTATTAAAATTTACACACACACACACACACACACACACACACACACACACACACATATATATATATATATATATATATATATATATATATATATATATATATATATATATATATATATATATATTCTGGAGTTATAAATATCCTTATTGGATTATTTTGAACATGAGATTAAACATTATTTTGGAACTAGTTTTCGTAAACCCTAATTTATGAACTTTGACCTTGAATTGGAGATGCTTGGCATATGATTTTGAGATATGAATCTGAAAAGGATATTTTGAGAAAGTGTTTTGAATTAAAATGATATTTGTGCAATCTATGAACTACATGTTCATAATGATATGTGAGTAACCTATGAACCATATGTTCATAATGATATGTGAGTAAACGATGAAACATATGTTCATCATGATAAGTGGAGTAATCTATGAACCATAAGTTCATAATGATCGGAGGAGTAATCTATGAACCATGAGTTCATAATGATAGGTGGAGTAATCTATGAACTCTATGTTCATAATGCGATTGTGAGTAAACTATGAACTACAAGTTCATAACGATCTTTGGAGTGGAGTAATCTATGAACAACGTGTTCATAATGATAGGACCGGTAGACAACCCGAGTATTCGTGTAGTATGGATAATATTTTTGAACTGAAGAGTAAATGGTTTTTGAGAATTAATTGTGGATAAGTATTTAGTAGAATATGAAATCTATATGAATAAGTATTTATAAACTACTCTGTCGAGTCTCAAAGGTTGTTTTGAATGGTGAATGTGATTTTAAACTTGAAAATTGTATTTTTGGAACTAAATGGATTTTTGAATCTATACACTAAGTACCAAATCTATTTCCTTCAAACTATATTATTTTACGGGGTTGGGTGGGTCTTACTTAGCTAAAAAGCTAAGTTTGGTTTCCTTTTCTTTGTTTTGTTTTCTGCACTTTATTTGGTGCAGGTGATGAAGAGTATGCTTGATGAAGAGAGCCCGATAGATCACCTAGATTAGTTATTAGTTACATTAATAAAATTTCATAATTTTCAGAATTTGTCGTTGTTTCTTTTACTTTCAGTTTTGGAACTTAGTACTTTTGTTATTTTGGATTGTGATTTAGCATGTGCATTCGATTGTGTGAGAACCGAATGTGGCGGTAACACCCATTGAATATTAGGCTTCCGCTGTAATTTAAACTCTTTTGAATTAAGTGTTTTGGGAAATTCTTTCTATACTTGATATAATTAGCATTTATTTTGGGTATGAATTTGGGGGTGTTACACCTGTAGTCCTCAATTTTGTAAATTATGATCGATATTTTACGGATGAGAAAACTCATTTAACATTGGGCCTGAAGTCCCATGAATCAAGGTATTGTGTACGTGGGGTGACAATATTTGAGATTGAATGATTTTTAGACTACATTTCTGTTATACTTTAATGTTTTGTAAATGTGGCAGTTGATGAAAAAAATTTGATGTCATTGTTATAATATCAATTGTGTGTCTCTCAATGACAATGGTGAAAAGAAATGTGTGCACACAACATGCAACATGAATATGAATTATTTTAT